TGGATTATTTGCTTAAAGTGACATTAAAATCTGTCTAGTTGTTCAAGAGATATTTTCTTAACAGACGGACCGCACCGACAACAAATGTTTATGACTTATCCATTTACATTACATTACAGATCCATTTATGATTGTTTTAGGGTTGGCTCCAAAAGTCAATCAGTTGTAAATAAACTTTCAAGAATTTTGTTTCTGCAAGTTTAAATATGAAACATAAATTGATGCTCCAGTGGTTGATGAGATATTTTGCCAACAGACAAACGAACCCTCACACACAAATGTAGACAAAACAGACATTCCCACTGGCCTTTCAGTGGTGAAACGCTGAGTAACAGTGAGTGTATGATGTGACCTTCAGAGGAGGACCTCTCTCTCTCACACACACACACACACACGCACACACACACCCACACACACACGCACACACACATCGTACCCTGCAGTCTGAGCGACACGCTGACTACACACCTCCAAACCTCAGGTTATGAAACAACTTCTGCAGAATGCTGTCAGCCTTTATTCTGATTTTCTCTGCATGTGAAATATTTATCATTTAAAAGTCTTATTGGTCCAAGTGTAACCATGGAAACCAGCCAGGTGCAGGAGACTGAAGGCAACAAAACGTGACTCTGCAGCTCTGAGGAGAAAGAGAGGATAGAATCAGACATGATTGATGCTTTAGATGCTCAAAGTTCATCAAGTTTAAGGTTATTGTCATTTGCATCACATGTGGTGCATGAGGTGGAACAAAATTGTGTACTCAGGGTCCCAGTTACACCCAAAACTAGCAAAAATATAAAGTTTAAAAATAAACTGTAAATAAGGATCTAAGATATACACTAAACACTAATAATGTAAAACAATATGGCATATCAACAGCAGCCTGAACATGAGTCTGTGGTGAGCAGATGAGTATGAATGAAATCAGCAGCATGAGATCAGCAGCACAGATAAGTCGCATATCACCAATTAAAGTTGCATTGCAGTGATTATTCTGGTTAGAGATTCATGAGTCTAATAGCCTCAGGGTAGAAGCTGTTCCTCAGTCTAGTGGTTCTAGATTTAATGCTCCTCAACCTCCTGCCTGGAGGGAGCGGGGCAAAAGTGTGTGTGCTGGGTGAGTGGGGTCCTTCATGATGCAGATGGCCCTCTTCTTGATCTAGAGGTGTAGATGTCTGTGATGGTGGGGAGGCTGACTCCAACAGACTTCTGTGCAGCCTTCACCACTCTCTGCAAAGCTTTTCTTTCTGCAGCTGTGCAGCCTCCATGCCACACGTTGATGCTGGAGCACAGGATGCTCTCCACTGCACACCTGTAGAAGGAGGTGAGGACTGAGCTTCCCAGTCAGTCAATCAGAGATTAAGTTTAATTTCTATTTCAGTTCAATTCAGTTTATTTATATAGCACCAAATCACAACAGAAGTTATCTCAGAGCACTGAACAGAAACATTCACATACATAAAAAACAATTAGTAAAGTTTATCTAAAGAAGCAGCAGATTGTGTTGAATCTTCACTTCGTCGCAGTCTTCCATCCTGAGCAAGCACAAAGGAGACAGTGGAAAGGAAAAACTCCCTTTTAACAGGAAGAAACCTCCAGAAGAACCAGGCTCAGGACAAGCGGCCATCTGCTTCGATCGGATGGGTTTGAGAGGATAGAAAGGAGAGGCAAACAAACACAGAATGGTAGGAACTTTGAACTTTCTAAAGGAGGAAAGACAAAAAAATATGTTAAGATAGAAATAATTACAAATACAAACAGGTAGAGTAGAGTAAGTAAAGACAGCATCAGAGACAGGAAATGTGGTCAGTTTGTCCTCCAGCAGTCTAAGCATATAGCAGCATAACTAAGGGACAGCTCAGGAAACCCAAGCCAACCCTAACTATAGGATTTATCAAAGATGAAAGTCTTAAGCCCAGTCTTAAACTGGATAATGTGTCAGCCTCATGGACAGAAACTGGAAGTTGGTTCCACAAAAGAGGAGCCTGATAACTGAAAGATCTTCCTCCCATTCTGCCTTTGGAAACTCTAGGAACCACAAGTAAACCTGTAGTCTGAGAGCGAAGTGCTCTGTTAGGAAAATATGGAACAATAAGATCTGTAAGTTTACTTGTTAGAGAAAATCAAAGAGTGTGAGCAAAAAAAGGTAATTATCAGTCAAATAAAAGATTAAATATTTGTAAAACAAAATCATTCTAAATTGTGTTTTTAGCACCAGATTAAAAAAACAACTTAAAACCTTCTATTTGTTGTCTTTTCATATGTTAGTTACACTAACAACAACTTTAACTGACAAACATCTTACCTGTTGTAGATAGCTCTTTGAACAAACTCAGTTGGGAGAATTGGAGTTTCGTTCTGACAGAACTGACAACCATGAGGCTAGTCTGAACGAGGCAAAGAAGTGGATTGCTGCAGGCCCAAGTTACCAGTAGCTAACATTTCCAGTTTGATGACAATTTATGCAAACACTGTTATATGAACATTTATACCAGCATCAGTTTTGTAATCCACTTTTTTTTTCTTTTTTTTTTTTTTTACATGAAATTTGTAGTTATAACGTAATATAGCATAAAGAGCATTTGCAGTTAGCTGTAGCATTTCTGGAGCAGCCTGGAGACCCTTCTGACAAAAATTTCTTATTTCATCATAAAAAGATGATGTAATGTAAAATTGGTGCAATGTAAATGCTAAAACTGCTAGTGTATGAATAAACTATAATGACACTTTGCAAAAAAAAAAAAAAAAAACTCACATTGATCCAATAATTTGAACAAGGTTTAGACCTATTTCTCATTTGCCTTTTCTCGCTAGTCTTGGAAAATGTTTTTATGCAGCTACATATGCTCCATCACTGACCTTGGCTTTTTTTAAACCTAATTTTAAAATATTTTTATTCAGGCAGGCTTTTAATACCAAGCGTCACTCTAGTATTTCTTTATTTTTGCATTTTCATTGTTAATTTTTAACTTTTGTACTGTGAAGCACTTTGTTCACTTTTGGGCTGTTGTAAAAGTTTCTATAAATACATGTTGATTGACAAAGTTGTTTTACCTGTTATCAGTCCTCACAAAATGCCTTAAAATGCCTGTAAAATACCTACCTAAACCAAATTATAGGTAAGGCATCCTGCTCTGGGATTTGACAAGTATACTGGAAGGTTTGATGCGTCAGTGACTCCCAGTCCTGAACCGACGACCCACCTATGATCTTAGCCTGAGAAAGACATCTACACATCCAACTATGTGTCCCGTCCATCATCATCGAGGCCTGTCTGTAGTACACTAACACACACAGGTCTATAAATAGCAGGGCAAAGCAGAGGGTGTTTAGAAGTAAACACGTCTGCATTGCTGAGTCTCTGTGATGCAGTGCAGCCCTTTCTGCTGCAGCCAGACAACAGCTGACTGCAGGCCAGAGAGAAACATCTGAACATGTGGGGGAAGACATCAGTGCTGCAGTGTCACTGCTGCATCCTTTCCCCTGATCTCTCAGTTTCTGAGGCACAGGGCAGGGTGGGGGTGGAGTGTGCTGAAGCATTAAAGCAAACACCTGATACAGTCACCTTGATAAGAGATCATCTTTGGGTTTAAAAACATATCAACCATCATCTACAGAGTCCATTAGACACCTAGAGTACCCCCCACTCAGTTCCAGCAGGGTGCTGCAGAGGACCAGGACCTGACTCGGGGGTGGATTAACGATGCCACAGGACGAGTAGAGAGCAGGGAGCTTTGAACAATCAGTATTTAGAGTCAGTAAAGGCAACAGGAGTAAATCACCTAGTTATTCTGCCACTTTACAGCTCAACTTCAGCTCATCTAGCAGCCAAAAACAGACGTCCTCCCCTACAATGAAAACAAACGTTTGGATGCTAATGAAACGCATAAATATTTATATAATTTTTAGGCAGTCTCATTGTCTTTGTATGGCTCTTCTTTTTTTCTATTTGTTCTTCTGCTCCTGGTGTTTTTTTTTTAGTTTTTTTTTTTATTCTTTAAGGTACATTAAAATTTCAGGTATTGTTTTATTCACTTTTCAGCAAAGTCATCTGTACTCAGTATTCAGACTGAAAATTTGATAAAAATGCTAATTTCCTAATAATGTGAACACTTACGGCGCATTCACATGATCCATTTTTCTTCCGTATGTTTTTCAGCGTGATTCTCGTCTCGCAGTTTTCAAACGATTTCAACAAATCACAAATCAAAGCGTTCAGCTCTTTCAGGACAATCCTGCTATTACTTTTGGTATTGGTGCAACTTTAGCTTTTTGAAATATTTAGCCTTTAATGCATTTTTTCTCATAAAAAAAAATGAATTGAGCTCATTTTCCATCCTTCAAATTTTTAGCTCTGTTTACAGCATTTTACTGCTCCTTTCACATTTTGTTCTGCTTCAGCTTCTTTCAGCTTCCTTGTGCAAAGTTTAAACTTTTCAGCTACTTTCAGCTAATTTCAGCTGTTTTTTTCAGCTGTTTTGTGCTCTTTCTGATTCTTTCTGTTAACTAGAGCACTTTTGTGCTTCTTTTAACTTCTTTATGCTAATTTCAGCTTGTGATGCTCTTTTCAGCTTATTTATGCAAGTTTCAGATTTTTTTTTTGCTATTTAAGCTACTATTTAGCTGTTTTTGTGCTAATTTTAGATTTTTCAGCTGAGTGAAGCGAGCACGCATGGGAGGACTCGCTGTTGCAGTTCTTAGAAATTTAAAGCATCAGTCAAAAATTGTGTTATGAATATGGAAAAAAGCGTATATAAGTTGCTTTGGCGTATAAGTCGCAGGACTTACAAATATATGCAAAAAACTGCGACTTATATTCTGGAAAATATGGTAAATTAATCGTAAATTTTTCACTTTTCCTTTAAAGGTCAAGCTGAGTTTTGAGGTGGCTCAAGAAACAAGGAAATAAAGCAATTTATTTTGCTAGTTAACAACACAATGAGGTATGTCTGAATGTGAACCAGACTCATTTTAAAATGTTTGTTTTGTGTCTCTTCCAGTCGGACAGTAATACCAGTTTTCTACGGGCAGCGAGAGCCGGGAACGTTGACAAGGTTTTGGAGTATCTCAAAGGAGGAGTGGACATTAGCACCTGCAACCAGGTAAGAGATGAACCTGACACCATCAATTACTCTCAGATATTCAAACCAAAGCTACACTTGGAAGAACAGAGAAAACATCCATCCATGCTAAATGGACTGTACTTATACGGCGCCTTTCTATCTGATCTCAAAGCACTCAAAGCTCTTTAAACTACAATCTGTGTCTCATTTACCCATTCATGCAGCTTTATACTAGATCTCTACAAAGATAATTGAACAAATCATTCTAAAGAGACTAATCAGAGATTTATCACATTCATACACTGATGGGACACACATCGGAGGCAATGAGGGGTTCAGTGTCTTGCCCATGATCACTTGGACATGTGACTGCTGGTGGATTCGAACCCCCAACTCTTGCATTGGAGGATGACTGCTCTAACCACTCAGCCACAGCCGCCCCTTACATCCATCCATCCATCATGACACCACCATGACAGAAAATGGTAACTTGCAGTTACTTTTGTACAATGAACATGTGGTACTTCCTGTTTATAACTGTTGTATTCAGCAGCTCATGAGGTTGGCCGTTGTTCTATCCATCTTTTACATTTTTCCAAACTTTGTTTATTTTGTGAAATGGAATAAATAAAATAAGTAAAATTACATCCTTTAAACACCCAGGGTTACTCGGTCTGAATCACATGTTCCCCACTAACATCATCCATCCATCCATCATGTTTTACCCACTTCTTCCATTTTGGGTCACGGGGGTCGCCGGTGCCCATGTCCAGCAATCACTGTACACCCTGGACAGGTCTCCAGTCCATCACAGGGACACATAGAGACAAATGAGACAAACAACCATTCACTCTCTCACTCACATCTAGGGTCAATTTAGAGTTACCAATCAGTCTAACATGCATGTTTTTGGTCTGTGGGAGGAAACCGGAGTACCTGGAGAAAACCCACGCATGCACAGAGAGAACATGCAAACTCCACCCAGAAGGGCCCCCAGACTGGGATTTGAACCGGCAACCTTCTTGCTGAGAGGCAGCAGCTCTACCAGTTGTGCCACCGTGCTCCCCCCCAACAATGTTTAATCATTTTTCTGATGATTTTTCATGAAATCCCTCTGACTGCAAAGCGTCCGTAAAGCAGAAAAACGGGTGGAGCTTCTGCAGGTTTCATTTCAGGACAAATTGAGACCGCCGATTGGTCACTTGCTGACGAGCCTCCTGGATTGATTGACAGGTGGCTGAGGAGCCGACTCGTGCAAAAATAAGTCATAGATTTTACTGGCCCGTTTAAGACTGTCATCATTTATTCCATATTTATTCCAAACTTATTTAATATTTTGTTGCATCTAAGATTTGAGAGCTAAGCTTCATTACAAAATCCTAATGATGTTTTTTTTTTTTTTCTGGGGTGCTGAGCTAAAATTTAGGAGTGCTTCAGCACCCCCCAAAAAGAGTCTGAAATCACCACTGGTCAGCTGGGACCAACTGCTCGTTTTGACGCCATCTTAGCTTCTCCACAATGTCAAAGGTCACACACATCAAAGCATGATTCCTGGCTTTGGCTCTTCCACATCGAAGGCTAGATCAACAAAAAAGGCAGAGCACCTGTGGTTTTTTTTTCTCATGTTTTGTTTCATGTTAGCCTCATGTTCACACAGAGACACTAACAACCCTGTGAAGTCCAGCAGGTGTGTGTGATTTGCTCTCTGTTTGGATCAGGTCCCAGTTGTCCTCACTGTGTTTTAGGAAGAGGGTGATCCTGCATAATTTAAATTTTAATAATGCTTTAAATAATGTTTTACATGCTTAGAACAGTGGGGCCCAATCCTTCGTCTCAAGGGCCACTGTCCTGCATTAACATTCTGAAATTTAGATGTTTCTTTGCTTTGACACACTTGATCTGAATGAATGAATGATTAGCAGACTTCTGTAGAACCTAAATGGCTGAGGGGAATAACTAGACATGCAGGATAGTGGCCCTCAAGGACCAGAATGGGGCGTCACTGTTTTAGAAAGTTTTTTTTTTGTAATTTCTGGATTTGAAGCACCATGTGTTAAGATGTTTTATAGTTTTTAACCTGAACATTAAACAGCACCATCTGTGAGGAACGTTGGTAGTCCATCCTACATCCATCAATCCACCAATCCATCCAACTGACCAACCAACCTACCCGTCCGTCCATCCGTGTTAACTACAAAGTACATTTGAATAAGCAATATAGATATACATTTTTACTAGTGACTAAGAAACTAGAAACATTCATTCAAACTTTATTTAAACAGGTTAGTCCCATTGAGCCTCTGGGACTCATTTACAGGAACAAAGAATATAAATAAACCTTAATATTTTTGTTGAAAGATATTAGAAGTTACACTGTGGAGAGGAACAGAAGGAATTAATCTAATTTTATCCACCTCCAGGCCCAATGGTGAAGTCAGGGGTTGGCTAATGGTGGCCACCATAGATTAATCTTTGGCCACCACAATCATTTGAAGAAACTATAAAGCAATATAAACACA